CCCCAAAACCCCAAAACCCCAAAACCCCAAAACCCCAAAACCCCAGAATCATCTTATTAAAGGGTATTTTAGTAATGGAGTTTATAGTCCTGAGATTTTTTTGACAGAGTCAAAAAGTACCTCCTCAGCATATGAGCTCAGATCTGAACTCAGATATTTCTTCCTGATGTCTTCTGGCACTAGAGTTTGTTTCTTCACTACATTCTGAAGCATCAACTTGATATTTTCATTTGTGCCAGCAAATGCAATATCTAGCGGGGTTTGATTAAACAGGTCCTTTAGATCAATAGAGGGTTTGAAGTGGAGTAAAATTCTGAGTCACTCAGCTTGGTCCCTGATCACTGCCCAGTGTACTGGAGTTCTTCCCATAAAGTCTGACACATCGACCAAATTAGGGTTCTTCATCAGTGCTTTGTATAGATCCATTTCCTTGCCCATTTTGATAATATTTAAGAACTTTTTAATTTCCTCTTCATCAAACTTTTGTTTGGTAGATTTAAACCTGAGCTTATTAGCTCTTAGATTTCTCGTAGCGAAGTGATAAGTATAATCATCCATGTTAGTAGCAATATCAAGGGTATTTTTGAGCTCTGTTTTCACTTTATCGCTATTCATAACTCCTCTAGATTGTTCTTCAACAGGTGACAATGCCCGCATTGACCTAACATCATCATTTTTGGGTGGATAAATAAACCTAATATCTTAAAAACTATATAACCTACACATGGTGATGCTTCTTTTTGGTGTCATCAATATCAGGTGAGATCTTATCCTCCCTTTCTTCAATTCTGGCAGTGTCTGACCTCATAATTTTATCTAAGTTCTTCTTAGTCAGGCTTCTGTAATACTCATCATAAAGGCGCTGCTTTAGGGCTACTAGGAGGATTAACCAGCTCTTGGAAGTCTAGCTTACCGTCTTCAATTCCTTTTGGTTTTTGATGAGTGCTCTGACCCCTATATTTAGTTTGAGATATGAGTGTCACAAGATCCTTGGCTAATCCAGAGTAAGATTTTGAGTGATTTCAAGGAGATACCGACTAGCTAGCTTAGCATCATTGTTTTTACATTATTAGGAATTAAGTCAAGAGAAGAGATAAAAGTGGGAAAGTTATAAATTTTAAGTTAATAACCAATGTCTGTATATACTACCAAGTCTTTATGTAAATTCACTCTAATGAAGAATAGTCAGGTATAATATATGTAGAAAATTTTAAGGGGAAATCTAGAGAAGAGTCTCTTCCTAAACACTATTGCTAATATAAATCCATATTTCTTCCCGCACAAAGGCCTCTTTGTATTTTTTAAAACTAGTTTAACATTAAAATTTTAGCATGTAGAAAATAAACCAACATATGTTCTAAATTTTGGTCCTGAAAATATAAAATACTCTCATTTTGATCAATTTAATGTAGCCTAACAAACTTACTTTTTAAACAATAAACTGAAGGTCAACTTAGGCTTGATCAGGAAGGATCTGGTTGTCTTAAGCATCCTGCTTTTACGTTCAGATTCTTCAATATTACCAAATTTGCCTAGGAGTTAGTAAGAAGGAATACTCTTCTTGATCATATCTTTATTAATAAGCAATTGGTTGCTATCTTCAGGAATTTGAGACCCTCTTCTTTGTAAACCAGGGGTTTTCTCATCAAGCGCAGTGGTCTTAAAGAAGTTCTTGCCTGTGTTACGATACTCAATCATTGCTTTGCGTGTTTGGTACCTCATTGGGTACACAACCTTCTTTGGAATTTCTAGAGGGTCGGAAACTAAACCTACGTTTGTTGTCTTTTAAGATATCAAAGTTCTTTATTCACAGCTTGAAATTGTTCATATAAGAGAGGTTTGGATCCTTCATTCCTTTAACTAATCCCTGAGCATTAAAATTTTGATCATTTAGCTTAGCCATAGCCTTCCTTGCTGCGATTATGTGAGCTCTTTTGTTGTAAACAGGAAATTGTTGTGCGACAGGAGAGGTTGACTGCTTATTTTGGCCATTTAGACTCATGTAGTTGGTAGGATCCATGCTTTGTTTCCTCTTGCCATGCTCAATGATATGAACCTAGACAATATTTATACACAACTTACATCTTTTTTCTTCTCCTGGATTGTTATATAGTTAAGGTCCTTGTGGGAAAATGCGAAGCCCTTTCTCTTGTGCTTGGCCATTCTTAGTAATTATTTATGCTAAATTTATTTTCTCCTGGGGTTTTGGGGTTTTGGGGTTTTGGGGTTTTGGGGTTTTGGGG